CTTCTCAGAGCGTTCTGGAACGCTCTGAGAGCGTTCCGGAACGCTCGGGAACGGATCTATCCTCGTCTGTAGCCCCGCCGATACTATATCCCAGGGCTGAACCTAAACGGTGCTTTTCGTTTTCGTCTTGTTTTCGTTTTCCCTCGCTTTTGTCTCGAATCCGCCTTTCTACCGCAAAGCGAAGCCGAAACGACAACGGCCCACGAAATCACCCAAAACACCGTGCAGGTCCAGCCCTGCCTCCGAGAGGAGGCGGAGGCCGAAGACACGCGAGAGGACACAAGACCCTTCCGAGGGCCACATCGCCATAGGAGTGTAAGAAGGCACGTGTCGCGAGGCACGGGGCACAAGCGTACCCTTGAGCTGGCAGGGTCGACCTACTAATCTGGGCCGACTGTACTATATCCCTCCCCCGAGCCCTGCCCCCGAGAGGCGGCGGAGGCCGACGAGGAGGGAGGCGGCGGGCGGCGGCGCAGGAGACGAGGGGCCTCAGCGGCCCATGCGGTCCTCGAGGTCGGGCACCGGCCTGTGCACGCGGACCAGCGGGTCGAAGAGGAAGTCGTCGACCGCCTCCTGCAGGCAGTGGACGAACACGCGCATCCTCGGATCGGAGGGGGAGGGGGGGTCGAGGAGAAGGAGGAGGAGGAGGGACGGGGGAGGAGGAGAAGGAGGAGGTCACCACCATCATTAACATCATCAGTATCGTCAATACCATCATCTCATCAGCATCATCATCACCACCATGATCATGATCATGATCATGATCATGATCATCATCATCATCATCATCATCATCGTCATCGTCATCGTCATCGTCATCGTCATCGTCATCGTCATCGTCATCGTCATCGTCATCCTCATCCTCATCCTCATCCTCATCCTCATCCTCATCCTCATCATCCTCATCATCATCATCATCATCGTCATGATCATCCATATATACCATCATCATCGTCATCGTCACCAGCGTCTCTGGCGTCACCGGCGTCACCGTCATCAACATCATCATCATAATCATCGTCGTCGTGGTCGTCGTCGTCGTCGCCACCATCATCATCGTCATCAGCATCATCATCGTCGTCATCATCATCGGCAAAATCATCACCATCGTCATGATCATCAACAAGGTCATCATCATCAGCATCACCAGCATCAGCATCATCATCCCCATCATCAACAATTCGCCGGCCCAACGGGCCAGAGGCGTGCTAAGATCTCCGGTAACTGGTTAACAATTCTCTAGTTCGCGCGCGCGGGGCGGCCCCTGGGGGTCCCCGGACGAAAAGTACCCCGGGCGATCCCCGACCGACCCCCGAGCGATCCCCGGGAGACTCCCCCAGAGCGCTCCAGGAGCGCACCAACAGGGCTCCGAGACGTCCCCGAGAGCCCCAAGAAAGGCCAAGAGGCCCCCAAGAGGCCCCCAAGATGGTACACGAGGGGTCCGACATGCCACAAGATCGCTCCAAGACGCCCAAGATAGCCCCCAGACGCCCCAAGAGGCCTCCAAGAGCACTCCCAAGAGGGCCCCAGGAGGCAAAATTCATTGCTTTTCCTTAGGTTTTTGAGAGATTTTGGAGTTTCCACCTTTTCGGCTTCCCGACGCCCCAAGACGGCCCAAGAGGCCCCCAAGATCGCCCCAAGAGGGCCCCAGAGGCCCCCAAGAGGGCCCCAAGATGGCCCAAGAGGGCTCGAAGACTGCCCAAGAAGCCTCCAAGACAGCCCAAGAGGGCCCCAAGAACGCTTCAAGAACGCCCCAAGAGGGGGTTCACGAAACAGAATTTCGAGCTCTCGGCCCTTAGAGGCTCCCGGGAGGCCCCAAGACGCCCCCGAAGGCCCCCAGAGGCCCCCAAGAGGCCCTCAAGAGGCCTCAAGAGGCCTCCAAAAGGCCCTCTGGAGGCCTCCAAAAAACCCTCAGGCGGCCCCCAGGACGCCTCCAAGACTCCAGCCAGACGCGGCTTGGGAAACGCGGGTCGGGGTGGTCCTCCTCCCCCGCGTTCGGCTCCCGACGCCGCAGCTCCACACTGCCAACGACCACTCGGACAGGCGACCACGGTGCGACATTATGGGCCGGCGGAATGAGCGAAGCGATTAAATAACAGCAGCGACGCCTTCGTTATCGTCATCGTCATCGTCATCGTCGTCATCATCATCATCATCATCATCATCATCATCATCATCAGCAGCACCGTCACCGTCACCGTCACCGTCTTCATCCTCATCAGCACCACCACCACCATCATCATCAACAACATCAACAACATCAACGTCAGCATCAGCATCAGCATCAACATCAGCATCGTCGTCATCGTCATCATCGTCATCATCATCATCATCATCATCATCATCATCATCATCATCATCATAATCATCACCGTCATTATCGTAATCGTCATCGTCATCAACAACGTCATCATAAACATATGTATCATCACCATCTTCATCGTCACTGGCATCACATCATCAACATGAACATCACCATCGTCCGCTTGATTCGGCTTCTTCGTTTCCCCTCCACCCCAGAAACACGAGAAACCACCGGAAGCCTCCGAGTGCCGCGTGGAACCTCCAAGAATCTCGCCCACCCACATCCCCTCCTCCCGCTTCCTCTTCCCCCTCCCTGTCTGTCTGCGCTGCGGACCATGCAGCTGTCATGACAGAGCCAGTGGTCTTGTTGAAGGGTGCAAGACAGCTCCAGAGAGTGCTGGAGCCAAATCGCCTTGATCCCGTATTTCCCGTGGGCTTCACCCCCAATGCGTGATGACATCACGGTCGAACGCGTCCCTTGGTCAGAGCAACCTCGGCACAGCCTTGGTCATGACCGAGGCGCGACTGGGTGGCACGGCCATCAGTAAGATGCGGACTGGATTACTGGGGGCGACCGAGGCGCGACTGGGTGGCGACTGTGTAAACAAGCGTAACTGGGCGCGACTGGGTGGCGACAGTGTAAACAAGCGTAACTTTCGGAGGTTCACGCGGATTTCTGGATCGGCGTTGGACCCCCCTCCCTGGCGCGCGGAGCGCCGCAAGGGGGGGCCCGCGCCGATCCAAGAAATCCGCGCGGACCTCCGGAAGTTTGACTTTGTCTGTGCAGATTTTTCGTTGAATCAGGGTGAAGTGCTCCTCCCTCCTCCTGGTCCTAGTCTCAAGTCGGGCGTGTCCCCCTACAGGGGGATCTTCGACGGAAAATAAAAAATACTCAAAACATATCCCAACATGGTTAAAAATACAGAAAAAATAATCCCCGGACTAATTTCTTAATATTTTGAATACTCCCCCTGTAGAGGGACAGGCTCGACTTAATTAATCCTAATCTGGCTTCCGAGCCACAACTCTGGCCTCCGGCATGGGGGACGCTTCGGGCACCCCCGGAACGTTCTGGGCGAGGCGCAGCTGCTGGAAAGCACCCCGAGGCTGGAAAACTCCGCGAAATGATAAACAAAGGCTCCCAATCTCGCGCTCCGCGCTGCGCGAAGTGCGAACAACTTCGCTCTCTCGCGCCGCCTTCCAAAGGAGAAGAGGAGGATGAGGAATCGGAGCCGAACAGCGAAACGCGAAGCGTGAATAACTTCGCGCCCTCGAGGGCGCCTTTGTGGAAAGCATCCCGAGGCTGGAAAACTCCGCGAAAGGATGAAAACGTCGAACGTCCCCCCTGGGCGCGCTGGCGAACAGGTGCCACGGACCGAAAGACCCTCAAATTGGGTCCCTGGGCCCCTCTTGGGGGCTGAACGCGCCAACTTTCCGAGCTGCGTCCAGCAGTGGCGACGAGGAGGGCCCCCGAAGGCCAAGAAGCTTCGAACCTCGCCACCGATACTCCCCCCCCTCGGGGACGACGACGGTGGCGAGTAGCCTGGGGGAGAGCACTGCATGTATCCAGGGGCGTCGATGGCCCATGCCTTCGGCGAGGCTCTCGGGCGAACACGTGCAATGCCGCCCCTGGGCCATTCGCCCGTGTCGTCGCTGCCGACCTCTGCGTCCCTCCGTCCCCCTCCAGACTTCCGGCGAGCCACAGCCAGGGGAGCTGCAGCCCTTACTCCCCCCCCCTGGGGGGTCCATCGGATTGCCGACGCCCCTCTCGACCGAGGAGGCGCAAACAGTAGGCCACCCCCAGAGGCGATTCGCCCCGCTCGTCGCCCCCGACCCATGTGCTCCCTTCGGTGGTTCAAAGAGGGGGTCCTGAGGGATGGGGTCCTCAGGACAGGAAGGGGTCCAAGGGTGGATCTGCATTGCTTGCGGCACCTCGTCCTTAGGACCCCATCCCTCAGAACCCCATCCTTGAACCACCGACCCCTCCTCCCGGGCTGAGCCGGCGGCCACGGCGGCGGTCGCTCGGCGTTCCCAACGTCCATCAGCACCCACCACATGCCCTCGTCCTGCGGTTCGCCGGGGAGCCCGTGCCCTGCCCTCCCTGCCCTCCCTCCTGCCCTCCATCCCCATTCCCTCCTCCTTCCTTCCCTCTTCCTCCACCCTCCTGCCCTCCCTGCCCTCCCTCCTCCTTCCTTCCTCCTCCTCCCTTCTCCTTCTCTCCTCCTCCTCATCCTCCTTCTCTCCTCCTCCGCCCTCCACCCTCCACCTCCACCCTCCACCTCCTCCTCCTCCTCCTCCTCCTCCTCCTCCTGCTTATCCTCTCCTTCCACCGGGGCACAAGCAACCAAGCCGTTCCACGGCGGGGGGCAGGGCGAAAGCAGAGGGCAGGCGGTGACGAGGAGCACCGCGCATGGGCGACACGAGAGCGGCTGCAGAGCGATGACGAACCTGCTGAACACATCACCGCAAGCCTAACGCAATTGCTCGGGACGTTGATTAACGTAATTGCAAGCATCCAAGTCGTGCAGAAGCAATGGCGATCATCGTGCAGGATCGGGGGAGAAGTGCTGCAGCCATCTAGGCCACAGCGGTCATGGTGGAGCGGCGGTGACCATGCCAAATGAAGGGATGAGCGGTGAGATCGAGGGCGTAACAAGGTACCGACCGATACCGATACTCCACGGCCCTATCCTGGAGTGCGCTCTGACCAGGATCTCGACACATCCACCTGTGGCGACGACAGAAGTGTAGCGGTTTCGGTACCTACTCCTCCTCGAAGAAGGAAAAACTACATAAGCATAAAGGTTCGGAGCTCCGCGCGGAATTCTTGGATTGGCGATGCACCCCCCTCCCAAGCGCGCGGAGCGCGCCGCGGGCGGCGCCAGAGGCGCCGCCTGGGGGGCCCCAGCGCCGATCCAAGAAATCCGCGCGGAGCTCCGAAAATGTATGATCATGATGCTTTTCCTTCCTGAGCCTGCGGGAGATGGCATGTGCTGGCGACCGCCGTGCGGTGTGCGCATGGGTTGGAGCCCGCGCAACCGGACGCCGCCGACAGCCCGGGCGGCTCACGGCGCGCTGGGCGCGATCGCCATCCGCCTGGGGGGGCCGGCACACCAGGGAGGCTCCCGGAGCTCTGGCCTCGCGGGCCTTGCCACGGCCAGCAGAGCACTCAGCGTCGTCGTTGTCGTCGTCGTCGTCGTCGTCATCGTCGTCGTCGCCATCGTCGTCGTCGTCGCCGAGACGCGCGGGTCGGCGGCCCACGCCGCGGAGGCCTCCCGGCTGGGGTCCAAGCGCGCGTCGGGGGCGTTCGAGAGGGGGGCGCCCAAGAGGGGAGTGCGCAGATCGTGGCGCGAGGAACATTCGCGGTAGTCGCCGCCGCCGCCGCCGCCGTCGTCGGCGGCGGCGGCCCAGGGAGCAGGGACCACGGCCCACTTCTCGCACGCCACATCCTCCACCCCGGGGGTTAGCAAGGGCTCCCAACTTCGGGCTTCGCGCTGCGCGAAGCACGAAGTGCGAACAACTTCGCTCTCTCGCGCCGCCTTCAAAAGGAGAAGAGGAGGATGAGGAATCGGAGCCGAACCGCGAAGCGCGAAGCGCCAATACCTTCGCGCCCTCGAGGGCGCCCTTGGGGGTAGCGTGCACCGAGGAAGCCTGGGCAGGGGGACAGCGTGCGCAGAAGGGGCCCTCGCAGCGGGGACAGCGTGCGCAGAAGGGGGCCCCCAGAGGGCGCAGCATTGACAGAAGCAGAGGGGCCATGGCATCTGGTGGGATCTCATGGCCCTGGCTATGATTTGTTGTCCTTCTTTTTTTTTGAGGGAGAAGAAGGGAGCGCACACGATGATTCAGCATGGAACTAACAGCTGGCAGAAACTCAAGGAATTCTCCGTGGGATCTGTTCTCTTCTGAAAAAAAAACAAACGGACAGATGATATCCTCTCCCTGGCTGGCCCTGGCTATGATACGCACAGATGATATCCTCTCCCTCCTAGTCCTCGCCCCCCTCGTGGACGTCTCCGAGGATGGGGTCGGACCCCCTTTGGGAGGCCTGGAGCTAAGATCCCTGGAGATACTGGCCCCGCTCCTGAGGCGCGCTTCCAACCGCGGGCTGTTTTGGGGACCCCATGGGCGCGAGACCAGGCCAAACTCTTGTAGACAAGCGCGTTCCACTACTCGCGAAGCAGCTGCTCGCAAATAGCCTGGATCCACTGCATCGAGGCGAACAGGCTCCGTTGCATCAGCGCAAACAACACTTGCTTTTTGGACGCTCTCGTGTAGGCACTCTGCGAGTAATGGAACGCGCTCGGTGATCTTCCAAAGACGGACAGCGTGCTTTTTGGCACGACGCCGGGAGGCCTACAGTCGATCCGCAGAGTAAGGATAGGCATCCCTCCCAAGGGTACCCTTGCATCCCTGCCTCCTGGGGCCATCCTTGGACACTTTCGTTGGCCGCGCCCCGCTCAAAAGGCTTTGAAACGAGCATCCAAGGCCCTCGCATCCTTATCGCGCATCCTTACTCTGCGGGTTGACTCTACGAGGCGCCAGGGCATGAGAGGCGGAGAAGTTTGTTGTTTCCTTCCTGCTACGCAAACACTTCTTGAGCCAGATGGCGTCGGTAACCGATTACCATTTGCACGCCGCAGACGCGCTGTAAGAAAAAACGATTATTGTCCGCCGTCTGCGGCGCTGCTCTGAAGGACAAATGTTGCCCCCCCTGCATGAGAGGGGGAGAAGGGCCTCGAGCAAGCCTGCACCCGCCCGATCGCCCGGGCCTCTCGCCGCAGGCCAGTGCGCGGCCTGTGCGCTCCTCCCTCGGCACCGCTGGCCGAATCCGCCCGTGACCGCGCCGGGGAGGGGGGGACAGGGGAGAGAGAGAGAGAGGAACGGCCCAGAGCCCGGCGAGGGCGCCGGAGCGCCAGAAGGCTCACTCGTTGCAGTTGCCGGAGTGGAGGAACAGGACACTCGGAGTTGCCGCTGGAGTTGCCAGAGTTGCCAGAAGGCTCACTCGTTGGGAGGGTGGGACAGGAGGGGGCGAGGAGACATCCTATCCCTCCCTCCCATCCCTTCCCGCTGCGCCGATTCTTTCTCTGTCTGTCCGTGGACGGGTGCCGCGCCCGACCTGGAAGTCCCCAAAAGGCCCCATCAGATTATGAGCAATCGGAAAAGGGGAGGGGAGAGGGGGGGAAGACACTTTGGAGCGACTCTTTGAGAGAGGGGGGGCCATTCGGGCGACAGCCCTGTTTTGAAGATGAACTGCCTTGCACTCTTCTGGCGAATACGAACGAATGCGAAAATATATGATCACACAGCGCAGCGAGGTGTCCAGCAATATCCCCGCTTTGGAGAAAAAAAGAACACGCCCATATGTGCAACTGTCGCACCATCTTACACTCTTGATCGTAGATGCCGAAAACCTCTCGAACAAGAACCCTATCTTGAAACGGAACATAACGGAACCGCGCTCCATCCGTGCAGTGGTTACACATGTTCAAATGTCTGGCATTTGATGATTGCACATTCCCAAACGATATCCCCTATGTTGGGAAGCAACGATCATCCATCACTATAACCGTTGCAAGCTTTTGAAACAACTGTGCACGTCGAAGAGGCGAGATGACACTTTGGGAAAACCAGCCGCTCTCCATCCTCACAGGTGATGCAAGCTGGCAAGAATAATGTGCACGGCGATAAGGCGAGAGCCATATTTTGGGGTCGCCATCCATCCTTCGAGCTGCTTCAGGTTTTCAAGACGAATGCACGCGGCGCTAAGGCGCCAGTGTTGAAGACGACCCGCCCTCCGTCCTTGCAATTGCTGCACATTTGTAGGACGAGTGTGCGCGGCGGTGTGGCGCGCGCCCGTTTTGACAACGGCCCGCCCTGCACCCTTGCAGCTGCTGCATTATGTAAGAATGGACGTGCGCGGCGCTAAGGCAAGAACTGCATTTTGAAAACGATCCGCCCCCGCCCTTGAAACTGCTGGTAAATACATTGTGGAGAAGACTCAGGCGAAACGCACGGCCTGCCCTACCGACGCGTCTGGTGGTCGACGAAGACAAATTAAACATTATCTCGAAGGAAAAAGGGTGGATGAGGACGGGGTAGCAGAGGACGAGAAGGAGATGAAGGAGGATGAGGTGGAGAGACAGAGGGAGAGACAGAGAGGAAGGGTGAGAGGATAATCCTACACCATATGAAGGCGCCACCACATTCGTCATGCAAAAAACAATGCCCAAACAAACCAAGTAAGGTCAAACGTGTTCAGAAAGGAGGGGAGGGCGCTTCCTCTCCCTCTGGCAATCTCGGATGCCTCCCAAACGGGGCTGGAACAGATGGGGCCAGCAGATCCTACAGCACTGAAGATGAATCGAGGACGCATCGGCGATGCCTGGATGGAAAACCGCCCTCCTCCTCCTCCTCCTCCTCCTCCTCCTCTTCCTAGGCTCCTCATCTTGCCAGGTTTCTCCTCCTCCTCCTTCTCCTCCTCCTCCTCCTCCTCCTTGTCGTAGGCTCCCCTTCTTCCTCCCCTTCTTCCTCCTCCTCCTCCTCATCCTCCTCCTCGCTCATCCTCCTCATCCTCCTAGGCTCCTCTCCTCCTCCTCTCCTCCTC